AAGGAGAGCTGAGTCAGGCCATGACTCGGAAAAGCTCACTCCAATTTCAGTGCGTTTGTTGACTCTGGTGTCACCTTTTCCAAGCCACTTCACTGTGCCATTGGAGTTAACAGCAATCTCTTTGACAATATCCTTCTGAGGTCTACACAAACAAAGGGCACATTGTGAAAGCCAAATGTCATTATTGACATTATTGGTGAAATTACCTGGTTTCAGAGGTAATTTCCATTATCTCTCCAGAACTTGCCAAAATTTCTTGATTCTGACCATGGGGACACATCTGTGACCTCACATCTTCCACTGCTTCACACTTCTGCAGTCAGGATCCCATTAGGTCAGGCACAAGGAAAGAGACTCAAGTCAGGGCAAAATGCTCAGATTAATTCTCCAAACACCATGGGCAGATTTAAGAGCAGCCGGGGAAAGTAACTCACAGCCCCTCTGCTTGTGGAAGGCTACACATGCCAATTCATCAATGACCTCAGGGAAAAGAGCAGCTTTCAGGCAAGTTAGTTTCAGGAATGGGAATAACTGAGTGTCTGGGAAGGAGGGTGAGACTTCGGTTGCTGGGAGTAGAAAATTAACAGGTTAATAAAAAGCCAGACCAACTGAGGATCCCTTTTCAAGAGGCTCTTTGCACTGCCTGGGACCAAAGCCCAGCTCAGCTGAAGAGCAGGGCAAAAATCCAGATGTCCATGCTCATAGTACTCCCCAACATGACATGACAGCCTCTTCCCTTTGGTACATGGGCTGTTAATTTACTGGAACGTTTGAAGCACAGGATGAAAATGTCTCTGATGATCTCAAATGGGAAGCCCTTATTCAACAAAATGCTTCACAGGAAATTTTCTTTTTGGAGAAGTACATACCAAAAAAGTGCTAAAGACTGCATTGTTCAAGACAAATCTAAGAGTTGCTGTCATCTAAAATAAGCAGCTAGTACACTTTGATGTACAGCAGAAACTTTTTGGATGTTACAAAAATAGCCCCTTGTGTTAATCTGACAGGTCCAGCCCCCCGGAGGTGCACAAAGCAAAGCTTTCTGATGCCTTGCTGAGTCACTACACCACCAGCTCCTGACAGAAAGCCTTCTAAATGTGCCCTGTAGGCTTCTCTAATTGCTGTGATGTATAAAATACAGCCTGTAAAGATGATACAGGTTACAGAGGCTGAAAAATTGTGTTTAATTATAAGCTACAAAATCTCAGCATCATAAAGATTGTTTCTGTTAGTGATCTGACAAGGCTTCTTATACCTTACTGCAAGATGTCTGTGGCTTTAACCCATCAAGCATTTCAATTTTCCCTCAAAAATAGGAGAATTTCATCTTAAGAAAAAAATTAAACAACTACTTTTTATACTAAATGTGCTTAACCTAAAGCTTTCTCCCTACTATTTCATAAACACCTTGAGATTATAGAGGCTCAACTAGCTTATATTGATGAATTTCATGTGATCCTGGGCATACAGCCATTGCATTAGTAATTCTTCTTTTCTATTGTGTTAGGCTTTTTGTAAATAATCTGCATGATTAATGAATGGAGACTAATTAAGAAGAAAGGACATGCTTTACTGTACTATTAAAACTTGTTTATTGCCATAGGCAAGATGTCATCAATATTTCTAGCTGAAATTACTACTTGTGATATAAATCATGCAGAATTTTACTGTAACCATTAAAAAAAGAGAAAAGAATCACTGGGTACAAACAGCCATATGCAGATTTAAAACTATGTAACCAAATGCATAACGCATCAATGTATATGATACTTTGGAAGAAAGTACCATATACATTGATGTATGTATGATGTATGTATGTATCAAGTATGAACTTGATTATTTCACAGATCTTTCAAAAGACAGAAGAATCTCTTTAAACTACCTCCAGAGCAAGGTTACTGTATACATCTAAATGAGACCAGCCAAGTGCTAATATCAGTTGTTTCACTGCAAATATGCACTTTCTTTATTGTCTTTAACAGATTTCCCTAATTTCGCAGTGGTAACAAAACAGTTACCACTGCCCAAACAGCTGATTTATACGCCAAAGAGCATGGTGGAGTAAATGCCACTCAAGACCAGTTCTATCAACCTTGTTCGTACAAACAATCACATTGATTTAAATAGGATCAATCAAGTCAGCAGGATTCAGTCAGGCAACATCTACATTAGCAAAAGGAGCAGCACTGCAGGAGGAAACAGCTTGTGCTGGGGGCCCAAAGCCCGTGCCAGCAGCGTGGTGCAGAGATGGTGTTATTCCAGCCAACCTCCTGCTTGGCCCCACAGTTGCCTATTAGCAGCTGGAACAAACACAATAACTGGGAAATTCACTTCAGAAACATCCTCCTGATCCCAAATGAAACAAGGATGTGGGCACATCCCCAGGTGGTCACAAGCCTGCCAGAATCTCACAGGCCTCATCATGGTTTAGCAAAGAGAAGTCCCTCTGAGTCTTCTCCATGGTGTTCTGTGGTAAACAAGGAGACCCCCAAGCAGGGAATGACTGGAATCTGACTCCATTAATTCAGAATGCTGAACAATTGCTTGATTAAAACTGTATTATATTATATTATAGTATAGTATAGAATACTCTAAAGAATACTGAAAGGATACTATACTATACTATACTATACTATACTATACTATACTATACTATACTATACTATACTATACTATACTATACTAAAGATACATACTAAAGAAAATCCCACGACTGTCTCCAGACAGCCAGGACACAGCTTTGACCCAATTGGCCAATTAATATAAACAGCCATCTCTGGAGTCCAATTAAGAACTCACTTCAGGTAAACAATCTTCCTAACACATTCCACATGAGCAAAAGCAGCAGGAGGAGCAGCAAGTAGGGACAAGAATTGTGTTCTCTTCTCTCTGTGCTTCTCCAGGAAAAAACCTGTGAAAGAGAATTATCTCTCTCTCTGCTCAGAGAATGTGAATTCTTTGGTGTTCCGAGCAAGGGGCTGCACATCCCATGTCCTGAGGTGGCAGCACAGACTGTGTGTCCTGCAGGGCTGGACAGGCTGGGACATCCTTGGGTGGTCCCAGAGAAAGCTCAGGTGTCTGGGAGAGCATGAGGTGCTTGGGAACCTTCATCAGTGCTTGAATGAAGACTTGGTTTTCCAAGTATATTTCCTAAGTGTATCCAATTGGTATCATGCTTCTGAATTTTAACGGCTGCCACCTAATCTGCACAAAGCAGCCTCAGTTCCACTGAACCAGGATGTGCCAGAGGAGGCAGGGAGCCAAGCACGAGTACATCGCTACAAATTCCTGATCATTTGCTCTCACAGTGCAGAAGGACCAAAATAAAATAGGGGAATAGGAAAATGATATCCCTATTACTTGCTTAATAAGATACTTTACCTCATTTTTCCCCAGCATTATAAATGAGACAGCTGCCTTGCTTTGTATCTCAGTAGTCATCCAGTGTACCCTTCAGCACCTCTATTTGTTCTATTTTTCATTGCTGAAAGAATGGTAGAGATAAGCCAATGGAGGCACTCCAGTACCAGTATGCAAAATCACAGCTTCCAAGACAGATAGAAATAAAATTCTTTTTTCAAAAAAATGTACGTACACACATGCACAGATTTATTTTTTCCTTACTGACTATTGTGAATCTTCAGAAAAGTCATTATGTTGATTATTTTCAGCAGGGACATGCCAATCACATAATCAATACATTTACATATTTCCAGCTACTGTATGTAATTTCTCTACTGTATTTTGCAGTTCTTCTACATTAGGCCCAGCTGGAAAATACAGCTCTGGTGGTAGTTTGGCTCTGTGTGATTTAGTAAAGTCCTTAAATTCTTTTCAAAACAGTTTTCAAGTGATAGTGGAACTATTGGTCTGTGTTCTTAGTTAAGAAATTACTGTTTTGAGATAGTGTCTCAAATTCTATCTAGGTTAGTATCTCCTTTCAGGCTCCCCTTGAACAGCAGAAGTTTGGGCCAATTGATTACTCTGCCACTCTCTCAGGAAATAATTGTTTTCTCCATCTTGTTAGGGATTTAAAGCTGTTTAGTGGTGTAAACTGTAGATGTGCAAGTATATTTTTTTCTTGATACAAATCCTTCAGCTTTCAGGTGACTTAGATCTGCCCTCATCGGACATGAAGGGTTTATGCACTGTGCAAAGTGCTGTAAATTCACAATAAATTACAGCAGTAATTATAGGAGATGACTGAAGATACTTTGAGATCCAAAGTCCTCTTAGGTTCCCCTGGGCTCTCTCAGGGTAGCACGGGCACAAGATCTCACCAGACGAGGCTTCTGTGGGTGCATAACTAAAAGCGCAGTGCATGGCTAACCTTACAATTTAAGCCAAGAGGAAAGTTTGTGCATAGAAAAGGCTTTGGTAGGCTGGGTCTTTCAAATGGTGCCTATGATTTTGGAAGTATAATCAAAACTGAGGAGCAATGTATCAACAAAATCTTGATGTATCATTTTTATTACTGTAATTTCTCACCTAGAATAAAGACTTCTACAGATCTTTCCATATTGAGATGAGAACTGATACAGTTTTATCTTTGGTCTAATTCATTGTAATGATTTGTAGGCATCTGTTTTTTAATTTTGCATCTTTATTCAAATATTTTTGAAGCAGACAGGTTAACACAGTGTTTAAAATTGCTCACTGATCAAAAGTTATTACTGAGTGTTTTGATTCTGACATGACAACAGAAAAATTTATCTTACTGACAGCAAAATTATTTACTTGTTTATGTGTTTATTTATGTTCTGTCACTATTTCTTCCTCTGTTAATCCCAGTTTTTTTCATCTGCCTCCTTAATAATCCATTGAATTGCTTACCTGGCTTTCAGAAATTCCCTGTCTGGATAAGTTGAGGTAGAAGCCTGAACCATTTACACTCTCCACACTACATCCAATAAAGAGCTTATTTACAAATTATACTATGATGTGCAAGATCTCACTTGATTATACCTTAACTATTCTGTTTTTCCCTCCCTACCTCACAGATGATGGAAATGCTTAAAGCAAGTGCAGGTAGTATGACCCAGACTAACGTAAGTGTGAGCATGGCACCCAGGGACGAGCTGTGAAATTGTCTGCGTGCTTCTGCCAAACGCGTTGCATGGCTTTCTGCTCTTGTCTCGTGTTTCTGACGTAGGCAGCATGTTCAGCAACATGTAAGCGTTTCATTTGATATTGATATTCCAGCTCAGCTTTGGTTTTGTGGAGTCTCAACATTCTGCCTTTTTTGGTAGCTTGTGGCAGCTGCTAGTGGCAAATCCGCGAGCTGTGTGTGTCATTCCTAAGTGACCTTCAGAGGTACCTGCTAGGATGAGGACCACCCTGGATATGGCTGTTCAGAAATCTGTGGTAGCGGTGTGGAAGTGTGCAGTTCTAACGGGTCAGGAGCAGAACCAGCCCTCCTGTGCCTTCCCTGGGAGCCCAGCCTGCTCCTGGTGCAGCTGGCTCCAAGGACAGCTCTGCTTCTGCCAGTGCTTTGTGACTCTCCTGTTGTCAAACTCTTGCTTCATGTGGCAGATGACACATCTGAATTACGAATGTTGTTTGCACAGTATCTGTTTAAAAAAGGCTGCTGTGAGCAAATACAATGTTTTCCTGTGTTTATATAGTCCCTTTTACGTTAGTGTATGTAAAGTTTATGAAGGGTGAGACTAATCACAGCAGCTTGAAGCACACTTACCCACATGGGTCTTGGGGTGCTGCCTGGTATGGAGAGCAGAACTCAGTTTTTCCCTTCTTGGGTTTCTTTCCTCGTGGGATTTTCATTCATATTTTAAGTGTGCTGATGGGGGGTTTTGGCATAAGTCTGATCAAATATTGACCAGGTTGCTCAGCAAGGTGGTATCATCTCCATCCTTGGGGATCCTCAGAACTTGACTGGACATGACCCTGAGCAACCTGCTCTGTTTGGACCTTTTTTGAGAAGGGAATTGGAATACATGAAGTGCCTTTTACTTAGAGTTGTCCATGATTCTACAGTTTCACGACTGTACAGGTGGGGAGTAGAGTGAAGCCACCAAAATAGTTTTAAAGCCATCATTCAAAACCAGACCACCAGAGATCAGTGTTCTGGTGACTGGTCCACTTTCCTGGATAATAAAATGGAGTTTGTTGAATGCTGGTTATTACTGTCAGTATATCCAGTTCAACCACTTGCATCTGAGCTTACACAGACAGATATTTGTTTTTTATTATGCAACAAAAAATATGTGTTGTGTGACATCAAGATGACTTATCAGAAACATCCCTACTTTTGAATTACTGGAGCTATGCCAGCTGACACTGCCAGCTGTCTACATGATGTTTTTATAGCTCTTCTCAAGTTTCCCGTGTAAGATCCCTACCTCTGTTCCTAAGACATTAATGATTAGACTGTCAGAGCTGAGAAAATCCACCTACTGAGCAAGGTCACCTTCGCTGTTCTCAGTAACAAAGGAAAATGCCAGGCTAACAAGGCTCAGGAAGTCCTAATTAACGTCAATGGCAAATTCAAAGCCAGAGAAAAATAGGGCTGGCAAAACAATTCTCTCTAGATCTAAGATTATTTTTTTTTTAGCCATTGTAAAAGAAGCCTGGAAGCTGTATTTTCAAATATGGTTAGTGCTGGGGATGGGTTGCAGAAAAGAAAGGGAATCAATAAGGGGTTTGTGATTCCTGCCTTCTTCTCCTCAGTGAGTTCCTGCCAGCAGTCAGAGCTCTGAGACTCAGCTGGGGCCCTGAGGCAGGAGCACAGTACATCTCTGTTCCCACCTGCCAAAAACTCACCATGCTCCTTCTTCAGTTTGGCTCCCAAATATTCTGTCTCCTCAGGGATGCTGGAGCCATGACATACACAGAGCTGGGCCACCCCACAACCTCCCACCTCCTCCCCTTGCTGCCAGAAGACCCAACTTCCCTCATCCTACACAGCACAAAAAACCAATGGCCAATATCTACCCACAGTTTTGGGTGATGGGTGTCCACAGACCATATTTTATAGAAGACAGCTCACAGATCTGTCTCTAGCACCACTGAAGGATCCTGAATTTGTCTTTGAGTCTTGTGAAATAGTCCATCTTCCCAAAGTACTCTATTAACCATTCTTACTCACATTTTCTTCCCCTAAATTATTCTTAGTTCAAAATTCAGATTTCCTGAATTGGGCTAATCCTCTTGATTGCCACCTCCCTCCTCTCAATGCTCTGACCCTCATCGCAGACTTGATGGAACCAGCTCAGAGTGTCAGGCGTCTCAGGGTGTCTCTCAGACACCTTATCTGGCAGAGGGCTCCTAAGTGCTGCAACATTTCACCCTATTCATTTGTATAATCTGGGGGTTTCATGCTGATGTCCTTACTCAGGCATCTCTGGTTTCTGTGTAAGCCCAGTTCTGCCAGAAGAAGCTTGGTTTCCCCACTGATTTCCTTCTATTCCCAGGATGTCCCCAGCTCCGTTCTCTTAATTTATAAGTGTAAGGGAGCAGTCCATAAATGAGAGTGGTTTTGGTTTTCAGTGCCTATATGTCGGTAATAGCAACTGCAATCATGTTTTAAATTCCAGAAAGAAATATTCAAATCAGATATGATTATCAAAATTCCCACAGTCTTTTCAGCAGTGGGGAGAACAAAAAGAGGAAACAATTTCCTAAGGGTGCTGTGACTTTCCAGTGTTGGAAAACCCTAGGGATACATTATTCAATACCATCAAAAGTGACATTGATGCAATTAGCCTATCTTGGGACAAGAAGTGGTCCACATGACCTCCTGAGGTTCCCTCCCACGTGTTTTTGTATCATGCTGTTATTTTAATGATGATAAAAGCCTCAGCAAAAAAATGCAATCATGGTTCTAAATTGTGTGCACGTATGAGTGACTGACAGCAGGACACAAATTCAGTGGTAAGGGTGGACAGACCTGAAGAAAACCACTGCAGATTCTGGAATGTCATCACCTCCCACTGCTTCTGCCTCTTAGGGTGACAGCAAGCCAGTGTTACACATCCAGCCAGCCCCAGCAGCACCCAAGGGACAGGCACTGGGGCCCACTGGCTCTTGTTCCCCTGGGTTCCTCTGCAGACCCTCTTGTCTCAGCTGCCTTCCTCCTTGAGCCTCAGAGCCTCCAACCTTCACCAAACCCTGCAACACAGGGTTTACTTCCCCAGTTACGGCATTCTGGGCAAATGATAGGAATAATTTTTCTAAAGGCCTTCAGGGCAGTTTGATTCCCCACATGAAGGTAAAATCCTCAGAAAATTACTCACAGAATGTCACCATTGATCCAAATGGTCTTCTACAATTTCATTCACCCTTCAGCCACATATGTTTTTGACCACGTCAGATGAGGAGACTGGTTCCTTGCTCTGGTGGCTTCTCTCTGAAGTCTCAGCTACCATGACACCCTCAGTGCTCCCCAGGCTCCTCACACTGATGCTGGGGGGCCTCAGACATGTCCACACTGCTGCTGCTTGCAGCTTCATCTGCCCCACAAGAGCACTAAGCAAAAGTCAGTGCTCTCTGAAAGGGTCACCTCACTTGCCCACTGTTGAGTTGCCTCTGTAACCCTGCACCACAGAGCCAGGCATGCCTTCAGCAGGACATTTCTTCTCTTATGTCCTCATCCCTGGCTGTCCTTTGCTGCTAGATCCTTATGGTATCTCTGCAGGGTCTTCTGTCCTGACATTTCCATTTGCCCATCCCTCATTCAAGCTGCCATTGCAGTGCCCCTTCTGGGGCTCTGGGAGCCATCTATAACAAAAAGGGGAACACAGCACTTCTTCCTCTGCCCCCTGAACCTGCTGTGCTCAGCCATGTGCTGATCCTCCCCAGCACTGCCAGCTTTGAACTCAAAGTCACATTATTCAGGGAGCAAACAGGTGTCTCTGTGTTTATCACTGGAATGCTTCACTTTATCACTGGAAACTTGTGTGTAGGCACAGCTCTCCCTTCCCTGAGGCTGATGCTGCTCACAACCCCAAAGAATGGTGCTTTTTAACTTCAAGCAGAGGCACACTCACTTGTTTACTGCTGAATGTGTGGCTATAACTCAAGCAAGGAGTGCACTCCTGGGCAGAATCCCCACCCCATCCAGCATATTAATATGGCTCCAAGGGGTGTGCAGGAGCTTTATGCATGTGGGGGACTTGAGACTGAGCCCAGCAAAGCACATTGTTTCCTGGAAGTGCATAAGGAGCCCTCACAAATTCAGCAGGATGATCCATGGACTGAGAGGTGTGCTCTTATCTAAGTGCTTTCCTGGCTGAGGGCCACAGACCAGCTTGCTCCTGAGAGCCCATGGGACAGCTGGGAAAGCAGAATCTGCCCACTGGAATACCAATGCCTTTCAAAGACCATCCTGATGTTGAAAATTGCAAGGTTTTTTATCAAAGACATCAAAAAGCTCAGCAGACCTCAAGCTTCCTTCCTTCAACAGAGCAGTTTTAATCCTTCATTAGGGCTGGCCAGCCTTTCTGTATCATGTGTCCCCAAAATGCCAACATTTCCCCATGTCCAACAGCCACCAGACAGACCATGAGGATCTGAAGCAGGACAAAGACCTTGGGGCTGTTCACAGACAAGAGCAGAGTCTCTCTCCACAGATGCTATGGAGGACAGCTTGGCTGGGCTTATGCAACTCCAAATCCTGCCCTACCACAGGGATTCCAGTGTCAGGTGGATGCTGTCAGTGCCATGGGGACCAGAGTGCTTGGAAACCATAAATAAACTATTCATCAAACATAGCCAAAGGACTGGAAATTATCCAGTGTTAAGGGTTGGATTTGCTGTATATTTTAGGCTTCCTTCATAGTGGCAGATGTGACATCCCTTCTCTGTGTCCAGACCGCACAAAGAATACAACAGGCAGAAATCCAGCCAGACCAGGAGCCTCTCACAGCCTGGCAATACATTAAACTGGCAAGTTAATACACATGAGCTGAGCTAGAGCAGGCTGATGCTCCTGCACACACTGCCTTACCTGTCTTCCTGATGCACAGCTACTTTGGATTTTCCAGTCATTCAACGTGTTCATCTGTAAGAACATTTTCTTATCTCTTAAGAA